TAATACAACAACTAATGACTTGAACAATACAATATGAATCACACATTAGTAAATGTTATTAATGTATACTCATTAATGTATAAAAAGAAGTAACTTTTATTGTATTGACTTATAACTTAAAACCGTCATAATTGTTCAAATGAAATTTTACATAATAACATAATTGTTAAAACATGACCTTGACTATAGTGTTTTGATGGTGTTGATCTAAAAAATTCATTAAAATAATGTGTTATACTTACTATATTCTTTTCTAACAGTTTGTGTAGTTTAAAGTTATACTTCCAATAATACACAATAAGACATTATTAAATGAATCAAACTATTAAATGTTATATTTCTAATTAGAGATTTGACTAAACAAATCACTTTCTAATGATTAGTTTTTGGACTAAAGAAATACCTTAAATTGATGAATATTAAATGCTCACAAAATAATATAATTTCTCATATTCAAATTGTTTTTACTAATCAATGCGATAATATTCTCAAAATTACTTCAATAATACTTATTAAAATAATTAACAATAAAACAACTGCTAATTTAAATTCAACAATTTTTCTTCTCAAATCCTCTTTTTATATTTCTTATTTTAATTTAATGAAAAATCAATTTAAAAAAATACCAAACAAAAATTGTTTGATAATTTACTCAAGCAAAGTGGATTAAACAAAAAGTTGTCATTGCTTAAATAAGAGAACAGAAGCCTTTACCGCCCTTCTTTTTATCAGACCCACCTTTCTTAAGGTCAGCTTGTTCACTTGGTTTTGAAGTATTAGCAGGTTGAATATTCTTCATAATGTCAGTAGCAATTCTAATGAACAATTCATCAACATTTAATGATTTCTTAGCAGAGGCTTCCATGAATGATACATTCAATGAGTTAGCAAGTTCTTGTCCTTGTTCTACAGTAACAGCTCTTTCATCATCAAGATCACACTTATTACCAATAAGTAATTTAATAACTGTTTCTGAAGCATATCTTTCAATTTCTTGTAACCATTGTCTAACATTTTGGAATGTTTGTAAATCAATAACTGAATAGACGACGATAATACCTTGAGCACCTCTATAGTAAGAAGAAGTAATAGTTCTGAATCTTTCTTGTCCAGCTAAAAAATGAGAATATATCCTCTTTATTATAATGATTATTAAAAGCCCTTAAAAAATAATATTATATTTTATAATATATTAAATTATAAAATATAATATTATTTATTATTTGACATAAATGATAATTTTATATTAACTCGTTAATGAAATAAAACAAACCAGTATCCCAAATTTGTAACTTAACATTTTTACCGTCTATTTGAACAGTCTTAATCTTAAAATCTACTCCAATTGTAGCAATATGAGTATCAGTATATGTGTCATCAGCAAATCTTAATAATAAGCATGATTTTCCTACTCCTGAATCACCAATAAGAAGAAGTTTAAAAAGGTAATCTTTTTCTTCAGCCATGAACTGTTTATTTTTAGTTTCTTTTTAAAGTTCTTTTTCTATCAAATTCAGTTCTAAATTATTTTATATTTAAATTCAATGTAAATTATCGGGATTATAATTTATTTTTCTTCCATATTTTTTGTTATTTTTTTTAATAAAAAAACTACAGATAATTTTTTATTCCTCTCAAAACTCACTTTCATTTCAATTTAATCCAAAAAAAAGAAAATCTTAAAATTAAAAATATGAATGAATATTCCATTAACTTCTTTGTTTTAAAACTTTTTCTTTATTTTTTTTTTTGTGTTATTGTTTTGTTTGTTAATTAAACCTTAATTGATAAAGACAATATACTTTTAATAACAATAAATTGTAATTTGAATGGTAATGACAAAATTTTATTGAGGGATAAACCCTGTCTAAATTTAAAATAACATTATGGTAACTAAACAAAGTATTATTCTTTAGTATTTAAATTCTTAAGAAAAATTAACTTAAATTAAATGAAAAGTTAAGAGTTGTTTACATTACTTAATTTATTAATTTTATTTTATAACTCTTATTCTATTTATTTATTATTATTAATTTTGTTATAATTTTTATTAATAATAATTTTTTCTATTTTTTGGTATTTTAAAATATTTTTTATTAACAAACTATTCTTTATTGTTTATTTTATTTTTTAGTTCTGTTAATAAATAAATAGTTTAATGTTATTTTTATTAAATACAAATGGTATAAAAAACAAAAAATAAAGGAATGTTTTTAATAACAAATTGATGTGAATTATTAAAAAATGAATGTGAATTATTTTAAAGTAAAAATAAAAAGGACTGAAAATGATTTATTCAACAAAAGAATATTAAGTATGTTAAGTTTTAATAAACCTCTTTCACAACAGTCAAATGGATTTATGGGGTTTGGTCAAAACAACCAACAATCAGGATTTGGAAATAACACACAACAAATAAATAGTTTTGGAACATTTTCAGGGTTTGGTTCTAGTCAAACCCAAAATAATGGGTTTGGTCAACAAAGCCTTTTTAAGTCTACTTCTCAACAACAAAACGGATTTACAGGTTTTGGACAACAAACCCAAAATACTGGGCTTGGATTTGGTAATACAATAGGAAATTCATTAACATCAGGATTTGGGCAAAATACTACACAACAAAATAGTTTTGGTGGGTTTGGACAAAATAATCAACAGTCAAATGGGTTTGGGTCATTTGGTAAAACTGGATTTAATGCATTTGGAAACAATAATACTCAAAATACTACTTTCGGTGGGTTTGGACAAATTAATAATCAACAATCAAATGGATTTGGTGGATTCGGGTCATTTGGACAAACTAATCAACAACAAAATGGATTTGGATCATTTGGACAAACTAATCAACAACAAAACGGATTTGGTGGATTTGGTTCACTTGGAAATACAACAGGATTTGGACAAATTGGTAATACACAAACAAGTGGATTTGGAGGATTTGGACAAAATAATACTCAGCAGTCAAATGGATTTGGTGGATTTGGATCATTTGGACAAACCAATCAACAATCAAATGGATTTGGTGGATTTGGCAATACAACAGGATTTGGACAAACTGGTAATACACAAACAAGTGGGTTTGGTGGATTTGGAAGTACAACAGGATTTGGACAAACAAATAATCAACAAGGAGGGTTTGGATCATTTGGACAAACTAGTAATACACAAACAAGCGGATTTGGATCATTTGGACAAACTAATCAACAATCAAATGGATTTGGTGGATTTGGTTCACTTGGAAATACAACAGGATTTGGACAAATTGGTAATACACAAACAAGTGGATTTGGAGGATTTGGACAAAATAATACTCAGCAGTCAAATGGATTTGGTGGATTTGGATCATTTGGACAAACCAATCAACAATCAAATGGATTTGGTGGATTTGGCAATACAACAGGATTTGGACAAACAAATTCATTAACAGGATTAGGGACATTTGGTAAATTAGGATTAAACCAAACAAATAACCAAGGAAATTTATTTGGAGGATTTGGAAATAATACTTCTTTTGGTAATACAAATATCCCAAATTTTGGAAGTTCTACTAATAATGTTTTTGCATCAACCAATGGAATTGGTTCATTATCAACAGGAAATATTAATGGAAATTCTTTCCAGCCACCCCAACAACAAGGATTAACTCAACAACAAACATCAGCAATTATTGCTGATATGGCACAAAAACAACTTAATGAAAAACAAAAGAAAGAAGATAAAGAAAAGAAAGAAAAAACAAAAGTTAAACACCCAGAAGTTCATAAAAAAATCGTAGTAATGATGTATCAATCTTTAATAAGAGACTTAAATATGACAAATGAAGAAAATAAAAATACTAAAGAAGAGGATAATAAAAGTAATACAAATGAATCAACTCAACCTGTTGAAATGAGAAAAAGTTCAATACCTATTTTTTCCAAAGCACCTGTTATGAATAAAAGTGGATATTTTATGGTTCCATCAATTTCAGAATTAAGAGAATTAGAAGAAGATAAATTAAATAATATTAAGTCATTAACAATTGGAAAAAGTAACATAGGTAAAATTGAATGGAAAGATGTTGATGTTAGGAATATTAATTTTGATATTAATGTGATTATTAATGAAAAGAATATTGAAGTATATCCTGACGGAACATTGAAACCAGCTGAGGGAGAAAAATTAAATAAACCTGCAACCATTACATATTTTGGAGGATTAAATGAAATGGGTGATAAAGAACTTGACTCTTTTGTTAAAAAACACTACCCTTATGTTACTAGTTACACAAGAGATGATAGTACAAAAGAAGTCACTATCGAAGTTGATCATTTCTAAAATAACATATACCATTAATTCAGAATTATATTTGTTGATTATTGTTTAATCAGTTTTTAATATTTCTTTTATTTATTTGCTTCTTAAATCCTCTTTTTCTATTTTGCAAACTATAAACATCTTATCATCTTCACAGTTATTTCTAACAAATACAACAATAATCATATTGTCAATATAGTTGTATGTGTTAACATAAATAAAATTTAACAAACTCATCAATTATTAGTATTACCTAGACTACTAGTACAATGGTAGTCATTTAAAACTAATAAACCATTTAAATTATATGAATTAATACAATAAAAATCTAATCAATTTAATGACAACGCATAACAATTATTAATATGGAAATAACAAAACAAGACATAAAATATATGTAAGTACTGATTTAAAATGATGGAAAAATAAATAAATTTGATTTGATATTAGTTTAAATTGTCAAGTGTTTATAAAAAAAAGTAACAGTAAAAACCAATAAGACTCTAATAAATATCCTTAGTTGAATAAAAAATAGATTTGAATAATTGTTATTTTAATTTCTTCTCCTTTAATATCTCTCAATAGATTCAATTATATTCTTCACTTTTAATATTTTTCTTTCATTTACCTATCTGATTCTAAAATATTTATTCTCTTTTTATACAGTTTTCATAATATTCTAAAATAATACCCTTCACTTTAGTACTATTATTAAAAGTGTTTTATTACTTTACACAATGAATAAAATGATATTGTTTATAGTTTTCATAAACCCCATATCAGTATTTACATTATAATAATATCTCATTATAAACATACCATTTTACTGTCAATAACTTCTAACGATTTTTTAATTGTATTAAATAAATCAATACTCTAACATATATTAATCAATATGGATTTAGCAAATCAAAATAGTAAATCAATTAATTTGTTTTTATTATGTTCTTTATTCAAACAAATATTAACTTTTGTATTTTTATCTTCTTCATATTCTTCACTAAATCTTATAGACTCTATTTTTTAAGATAACTTTTAACTTTAAGACAAACAGATAAACATTTCTTATTATCATATGTTTTTTTTTAACTGTTTCTATTTCTATATCTTTGTTCCTATTATTTATTATATCTTCTAGTATATTATTCTTTATTTCTGAAATATATTTGTTTTATTGGTAAATTAAATAAGAATGTATAAAAATGAATTAATCCAAATAAATTAAATAGAAAAAAATAATTATAACAATAGGTTATAATAGTTATAATAATAACATATTTATAATTCAAATAAATTACCATAATTCTATTCAATTAATATTTTTAATTGAATAAGAAAAAAAATAAAAAGAAAAAAGTAAGAAAGCGGTGAAGAGAAAAATAACCATAAGTCCAAGAGAGGATCATGCGGAATTGTTAATTCACGACAGTCTTCTGAGCTTTCATTTTAATACTTTTTAATAAAAAATATAAAGAAAAAGTAATAAAATAATAAAAATTCCATGCAAACAAAATTAAATGAATTTTATTGTAAACAAACTGGAACTTGTAACGCATCGTAAACATCAATAATTGCTGGTGTAGCTTCTTCAGAAACAGCAGGACTCAAAATAACTTGAGAGATTACATCACTTAATTGAGAAACAGCAATAGGAGAAAGTAGTGTCATAGAAATGAATGCCATAATACCTTCACACTAAAAGTAAATATTTAATAATCAAATAAAGAAGGAATTTCATTGATTAATAAACAAACAATATCTTCAATTTTTTGTGAATTACTTGAATTCTTTTTTAATGCATCACAAAGTAATAAAATTGCTTCTTCTGTTTTATTTAATTTAACTATTATTTGAGCATTATCCCAATCTAATAATTGATTTATAAATTCATCAATATTATTTTCATTTAAATTATCAATAATACTTTTTGTTCCTTTTTGTTTAATTTGAACATTATTGATTTGTTGAAGAATTTGTTTTTGTCGTTCTTCTAATTCTTTATACTTTTTTGTTATTTCATTAATAAAATCAGCATTTGCCTTTGTTTGCTTAATAAATGTATCAAGGATTTCTCGACAAATAATAGCAGGGGGTTGTGGTGCAAATGCAAGTTTTTGAGATGCAGCAGCATATGCATTAACTAATTGATTAATCTGGTTTTGAAGCATTTGAGGATTTGGAAGGTGATATTGAGTAGGTTGTTGCATTGCCATTAAATACGTTTGTTGAAGACTTCTCAAATATTTATTTAATTCTTGGTAATGATTTTGTAATTCTTCTTTAGCTTTGTGAAATTTTAAAGCAATAACATCTTGTTGATTCATTTGTTTGTGAAAATGAAATGTTAATTTACTTAAAAAAAAGAGATGTTTTTGTTAAGTTCTTAATTAATTATAATTAATCATTAAAATTACTATAAATTATTCTTTCTTTATTCTCTTTAAATAATCAATTATTTATTCATTAACTCTGCTGGGTTTTTAACTATTACAATAACTGAATCACCTCTTAAAAACATTTTACTAATGCTTCTTTGACATAATTTAGCTTTTAATTTACCATCTGAGTCACGTTTCATTTCAGTCCAAATTTCTTTGATATTTTCAAGAACCATATTAAAATGACGATCAAATGCTTTGACACGACAAATTAATTTTTTATTATTTCTACAATTAATTAATACTTGTCCATGTTTTTCTACTGCTTCAGTAAGTAATTGAAATGGTCCTTCAACAAGTGCTTTTGTTTCTTCTTCCATAAAATAATCTTTTAAGATTTTTCTTTATCATTTTTAACAAAAACTATAATATTTTCTATATTTTTATTATAAATAATAATACACAATCAATTTATTTTTCTTCTTCTTCATGTTGTGGATGAACAACATCATTATCCCCATCAATTATACTTTGATACTTTTCTATAGTTTGGTCAATTTTAATATCTATAGAAACACCACTAGCAACAGAAAAATATTGTAAAATACTTGACTCTTTTGAGTTAAAACAATATCCATTTGCTTTATCAATCACTGCAATAGCTAATGCCAAATCATTTTTATCTTCAATAGCAAATGGAATTGGTTTAATTAACGAATATTGGTCAATAATTTCCGCTAATTGTTCATTTAATGTGGTAAATTTAGAAGGTAAATCATTAATTAATTCTGCAACATTCCCATTAATAACATCTTCCAATTTAACATTAAACCCATATCCACCTAATAAATCTGCTTTACTTAAGAATGGAACAAATGGTAATTCTAAATTCATGTTACATGCTAATCCTTGTAATACTGCTGCTAAATAAATTGAAGGATTTCCAATATGAATTGAATCAATAAGATGTACTGCTGTTAATCTACAATTTATTTGTTGTAATCTATGAAGAATAGTAGGTAATGTTGGGTGTGTTGCAAATAATTCTGTTTGACCTGGACAATCAATAAGTAAATAAGATGGATGAATTTCGATAATTTTATCTATGAGCCAATCAATGTTTTCATTTAAATATTCTAAACAATATAACATCCCTCCATTTGGACCAAGTTGAGTATCTTTCATTGCATCATCTAATGAGAGTAAATTTGGAAGTGAAACAGATATTGGATAATCATTTGGTTCATTAGCAGGATCTAAATTAATAATTGTTGGCTCTCTTCCCATTAATTTTAAAAATGTATACATTCCTTTAATAAATGTAGTTTTACCACTTCCTGGTGCTCCAGTGATGACTTGTCCAAAACATACCTGCATATTTTATTTATTTTTCTTGTTTGTTTTTTTTTAACATTTAGTTTATTTATTAATAAACTTTATATCTAATTAAATAGTTTAATTATTTATTTGGGCTAAATCCAAATAACCTTGTCTAGAGAAATCAGGAATCAACAATTCATATGTTGGTTGAAATTCTTGTTGTTGGTCTAAGGTTGTTGTAGGAGAAATTAATGATGGAGTTGATGAAGTTGGAATAAAAGACAATTGTGAAGAAGGTAGAAAGTATTGAACAAAATGTACTTGACAACAGTTAGGAATAAAGCTTTTGAGTTCTTTAAAAATTTCATTACAAGGAGATAAATGGAGGGTATTTTGAGATTCGAAATATGATTTAATTCTTTCATTAAAAGATTCTCCTAACAAAGATAAATTTTCATGGAAGTTATAATCATAAATTTTGTTATTAATAGTCATTCCAGTTAATGGTGAAAAGCCATTTTTATTTTTTCGGGATTTAGTTGTTAATCTGATAATACTACTTCTATGAATTATTTCTATTAATTTTTCATAAACATCTCCACCTAATTTTTTATTACTCATTACTACATTTCCTTGTGGACTTGTGATTGAAACAATATTAAATGATTGAAATGTTTTTGCTAATCTCCCAGGACGTTGAATATCAATACTATATCCAAGAGTATTTAAAATACCACATAGATATGTTGTATCATATACTTCCTTTCTCCCAACTTGAAGTGCATTGCAATGACACAAAAATTCAACAAATAAGAGTATAACAAAAATCATAAATATTAAGTTCTTTTTAATGAATTTTTCTTTTTTTATGTTGCATATTTTTTTATATTCAAATAATTTTTAATTTTTGAATTTATGTTGAATAACTTTTTTTAAACACAGAAAATTGATTATTTTTTAATGAATATTTTGTTGGTAAAACAAACGTTTTTTTTTAATTTTTTTTATTGAGGTGATAATAATTGATTTGTTTTAATAAGAAGTTTGTTATGAGTAAATATTAATCTCTCATTTCTATTTTTTGATTAGTTTTAAAAAAAGTTTTCATAATCTGATAATTCAATAATAATATTTCCATAGAAAAGACTTTTTTATTGGGTTATTTATAAAGGAGAAGATTGTATTTTTATTTATGACAAATCACTAAATAATCTGTAACTTTGTTACTAACAAATAAGAAGAGATATACTTATATAATTGTTAACTAATGAAAACAACTTAAAGACGTTCTTTTAATTATTGAAATGTTAAGTTCAACAAAAATAGAAGAGATATACAATATATTAATATATTGTCATTAGAATAAGATGTTCTTAAATAGAAGATAAGACAACAAAGTATTAATACTATCAATTGATAATAAAATAGAAAAATTATATTATTTTAATAATAGAAGTTTATGTGAATAATTTTCTAATTGATAAAAATGACATATAAAAATAGGTTGGGGTGTAAGAACTATTCTTCTATTCAACTTAAATAGATAAAATTATAAGAGAATAAAGCAGTAAAAGGAAAAAAATTTTTGATATTATTTCAAACAGTATTATTTTGTTTTAACTTAGAAAAAAAAAATTAAAAGAAAAAAAAAATTAAAAGAAAAAAAAAATTAAAAGAAAAAAAAAATTAAAAGAAAAAAACTAAAATCTAATCAATCATGCTTCCATTTGACCCTTCAGAGAATGTTATTAATGACAAATATGAAATTATTAATCAAATTGGGTGTGGAGCATATGCATCTGTATATAAAGCAAGAACAAAAACTACAGGAAAACTTGTTGCTATTAAACAATTAAAAAATGACAGGGACCAAGGATTTCCTGTTACATCATTGAGAGAAATACAACTTTTACAAGAGATTCATCATCCTAATATTATTCAACTTATAGAAGTATTACATGCAAATGACTTTATTGAAAGAAATACAACTATATCATTAGTATTTGAATTTATGCCACATGATCTTTCAAGTTTTCTTAAATGTGAAGAAATTGTAAGTAAAGTAGCGATAGGACAGTTAAAAGGATATATGTTACAAATTCTTCAAGCTATTCAATTTTTACATTCAAATAATATAATTCATCGTGACATTAAAACAGGAAATATTCTTATTAGTGATGACAATCATATTAAATTAGGTGATTTTGGACTTGCAAGAAAACAAGATGATGTTGGTATTTATACAAATAATATGGTTACTCTTTGGTATAGACCACCTGAATTACTCTTAGGTGAAACAAGGTATAAAGGAGAAGTTGATATGTGGAGTGTTGGTTGTGTTTTTCTGGAGATATTTAAACATCGTCCAGTGTTTCATGGAAAAACAGAAAATGAACAATTAAGTAAAATATGGGAAATCTGTGGTACACCAACTGATTTAGAATGGCCTCAATTTAAAGAAATGAAAATGTTTCAAACACTTGCACTTCCTACACCTCAAAAACGAATTTTAAAAGATGTATTTAAAGGATATGATCCAATTTTTATGGATCTTATTGACCATCTTTTACAACTTAATCCTAAATCTAGATTTACTGCTGATGAAGCCTTACAACACAAGTATTTTACTGGAGAACCACGACCACTAAAACCAGAAGAAATGACTAAATTTGAACCATCACTAGAGTCTTGTTATCGTAAAATGCAAAAAGAAAAACAAATTAATAGAAGTGATAGTCGTGAAAGAAGAGATGATAGAATGAATAGAAGAAGACAAGAAGATGATTTTCGTTATCAAAGAGCAAATAAAAGAGGAACCTCATTTAATAATAGAAGAAGAACAGACTATTCAAGAAGAGATAATTGGAGAGGAAGAAGAGGTTCCAATGAAAAGTTCTATTAAATAAAATGATTGTATCAGTTATTATTATTTTTTTTTGAAAAGGCAAATAAAAAATCTAAAATAACTCTTTCAAACTAAAAAAAAATTTTATAAAATAAAAATAGTATCAATTTTCAAATATTGTCTTTTTATATTTTTCTTTAGTAAGAGAAGTTTCAAATGCGTTTTTTTTTTAATACTCTAACTCTGCAATTTTAATAACTTTTTTTAATCCATAAAAATTGAAGTTAGATATATTTAAAAAAAAAGATAAATGTGGCTCATTACGAAACTTCCTTTGTTAATTTTTGTCTTATCTTTTTTTTTCGACTAGTTTGGTTCAAAATTTATAACTTAAAAGGATCTTTAAAAATAGTTAGAGAACAAAAATAATAACATGGCAACCCAAAAGTTTGGTTTTTAACAATATTATTATAGTTTAAATTAGTGTATCTTACTGTTGCAGGTCTGTTGGTATTCTCCTTGTTGGTATTTCTAATGTAGGAAAAACTAGTTTAGTAAATATGTTTTGTGTTTGTAAACATAATTTAATGAATAACAAAAAGGAATTTACTGTTATAGAAAAAAGAAGTTACCACAGATTATGTATCAACTTCAGGAGAATCAAAAACAACAACAGAAATGGTTTTAGGAAAGAAAACTTATAGTGTCGCATTTGTTTGTTATTTTTAAAAATTAATAATAAAGAAAATAGTATTTCATTATAAATTTAAAATATATTAAACAAAGAAATAATTTATAAAGTACGACCGTAACGGAGATGACCTAATTAATAATAGAGGAACTGTAAGTTCATATTTTAAAAAAGCTAAAATTCATTTATTAGTAGGTTCAACTCAAAATCCTGACTCAGTTGAATATTTTGAAGGGTTATTAAAAAATATTTCTGCTGATCCGGATGCTACTCCTATTTATCGTATTGTTATTTTAACACACTCTGATTTACCCGATGATGATGATGTTGAAGAACAATGTAAAAAGATGTTAACTGATGATATTAATTTTTATAAATGTAATTGTTTCCGTGATGGAGAAAGTATGAGTAATCATTTGACTGACTTCCTTAAAAGGGTTATTGTTGAACATCCAGAATTGGTTGAAGGATGTGCTATTGATTCAAAGTTATCTAAAAGTGAAAAATATGATAAGAAAATAGATGCTAAAGAAGATAAAAAACAGCAAGAGAAGAATAAAACAGCAGAGAGTGGATGTTGTTATATTCTCTGAATTTAAAACATAATTTATTACCTAATATTTTCCTTTCTTAATTTTATTTTTATGAAAATATTTTAGTTAAAGAGTGAGTCATCTCATAAAAATATGATAAGTTAGCTTAGTCATTTGAGATTGATTCTAACGTCTTCTTTATTTAAGAAAGAAGAAAGTGTAAATGATATAACTCTATGTCAAATAATTTATTCTGAGAGGATAAATAAGAGGGGAGAGACAGATATAAATTTACAATGAAGCACTTTTATGGTAGATATCATATGAATTTTATATGAAATTTCTTAACATCCCATTGGGTGGAATATTATCACTTGTCCATTATTGGACAAACAAGACAATGACTTGGAACTGATTAGACAAGCTACGAACATTCTGTGTTTAAAGTCCAAAGATCTTCAGTTATTCGAATTGCTTCTTTGGATAATGAAAGACAGTAAAATGAGATTGATGTGAACTGTGGGACAACATTCTTGATGTCACTTTCACAATTCACACCAGTTGACAGTCAGAGGTATTATGTCATTTCAGCATATGGGAATAAAAGGGAAGAAGCAAAAACAGAAAGAGAAGCAGTAACTAAGCCAAATCTAATTAAAGAACGGAAGTACAAAAAGAAAAGATGGGATTCTCGATTAAAGGTTGAAGCAGTGAAGAAAGCTGAGGAACTAGGATTAACACATGCAACAAACCATCTTCAGAAAACATATCCTGGGTTGTATTCAGATTTATGTCCAAGTACATTACAGTATTGGGTTCAACAATCAAATGTAATGAAAAAGAAAATCATACGAGCTTAATAATTATGTTTATTCATTTTTGTTTTTATTCATATTAAACTTTGTTTTATTTAACAAAAATTATTTAAAGAATAGTAAATCTGTTTTTAGAATTAGGTACTTTAAAGATAGGACATATAAAGGATAAGGTTCAATGAAAAAAAATCAAGAAGAACTCAAAGAACTAAATAAAATCAACACTAAATAATGTCGTTAGTTGCAGAACATCAAACTCCAGATAGTCAAAGTGATTATTCATATTCAACACCACAAAAGTATATTGATGAAGATAAATTTAATTTAATGAAAATGCAATTAGAAGAAGAAATTTCTGATTTAAGAAATAAAGTAAAGAAATATGAAGAGGGATATAACCAAAGTTTAGGATTATTGAAAGAGTATGATGCATTAGCAAATTATTTTCCACCCCGAGGAGAATTTTTTTGTTGTGGGAAAATTGAAAAAAGTTCATTTACAAATGATACATACTCTGTAACATTTTCAACACCATTTTCTGAGGTACCAAGGATTATGGTGTGTGTATTATATCCTAAAATTATTAAAATAGATGCAGCATTTATTTCAGTTTGTTTATAATAATTTATACAGTTACTTATATTAAACAAATATTCCTTATACATTTAGCCATCATCAACTGGATTTATTTTAAAGAGTGCACCAGGAATACCAATGTTAGTTGATGGTTCATTTTTCTTTTGGATGGCATATTGTCCAATAAAACCAAAATCAGAAAAGTTAAGTCAAATAATAGATAAAATGAAAGGAGTTAAAGTTATAACAGAAAAAGAAGCAGAAATACAAATAAGTAAATACATAAGAAAATATGATGTTAATGATGAAGATGCTAATGGAAAAACATTTTTATATTATGCATGTGAAAAATCATATAGAGGTCTTGTGGAGATGTTAATTAATAAAGGAGCTAATGTTAATTGTTGTGATGAAAATAGATACTCTCCACTTCATAAAGCTTTAACAGCTGAAAAGATTGACATTGAAATTATAAAAATGTTACTTAATAAAAAAGCAGATAGAGCATTAAAAAATGAACGTATGAATACTCCATTACATTACCTTTGTAGAAATAAAAATTTAAAAGATTATCATGAGGTATTAAAATTATTACTTGAAAGTGGTAATGGATCAAAAGAAGATACAATGAGATATATTAATGAAGTAAATTCATCAGGAGAAACTGCATTAACAAATGTCTGTGCAAATTCAATGGATTTTGAAAGTATTAAAATGTTATGTGATTATGGAGCTGATGTTAATCATCAGACAAATAATGGAATATTCCCATTATATTCAGCTGTAATGAAAGGAAATACTGATGTGATGGAAATGCTTCTTAAATATGGTGCAAATATTGGTCAAGTTTATAAAGGAAAACCATTATCTCAAGTAGCTGAAGAAAAAGGACAAATGGAGAAATTAATGAAAATAATTCGAGAGAAATATGCCAATGCTTCTATGAGTGAAGAGCAAATAAAAGCTACAGCTGAATGTTTTGAAAATATTTTATTCCCAACGGAAGTTTGGACAGATAATATTATGAAAAGTAAACCATTACATATAGATATTTCAAACTTACCAATGGGAGCTAAAGTTGAAAACTTCTTTACATGTACAACACATAAATTTGATATGTTATTAAAAAATAACATACATGATCCTCAAGCATGTTCGTATTATTATCAAAAACATTTCTCTGAAGGAGACCATAGTAATTATATTATTCATACAGACACTGATTTAGCAATTGTTTCTATTTCTGATGATAAGAATATTAAGAAAGTAATTATGAGAACAAAACGTTTTGATACAAGAAAGATTTATGAAGGAAAAACTGATCATCAAATTTTAAAGGAGTTATTCCCTGAATATAAAGAAAAGTCAACAGTTGCTATTAGAGGTAAACCAATGTTTAATGCATTATGTAAATTTGAAAATTTCTTTACTTATAAAAGATATAAATTTGGTGTATTATATGCTGCTGTTGGACAAACAAAAGAAATGGAATTCTTTAATAACAGAGAAGGTTCTTCTTATTTTGAACATTTCTTAAATCTACTTGGAAATAAAATTGAATTATTTGGATATCAAGGATTTGTTGGAGGACTAGATACTAAAAATCGGTTAATGGGAGATTATACTATTGTCAACACATTCTCTCAAGGCAATATCGATATAGCTTTTCATATTTCAACATGGCTCCCTTTCATGGAAACTAATGACCAACAACTAGATAAGAAAAGACATATTGGTAATGATGTTGTTGTATTAATTTTTAAAGAATATGCAGGAACTCCTGAGCCAATTGATATTTCTTCATTTAAAACACAGTTTAATCATGCGTTCATAATTGTTGGGTTTGATGTTACACAACAAAATGCTCCTGAAGATTATGAATATTCTGTTAATATTTGTTGTAAAAAAGATGTTGCACCAGTTGCACCATTTATTACAACTGATAAATATAAATACAGCAATTCATTCTCTCAATTTTTAATTGCTAAATTAATCAATGCAGAACGATCAGCACAAAATTCATTAACTTTCAGAGCAAAAAGATTAACTATTAGACAAAATCAATTAGAATCTATTATGAATAACTTTGCCAAAAGAAGTAATTAAAACATTATTCATCATTTTGTTATTTATAAAAAATTAAAAATAAAAGAAGTATAAAAAAAAAAAGATCTGAACTTAAAAATATATTATTTTAATGATGAAAAGTATTGTTTTATTGTTCACATTGTTTGTAGCAATTTATGCTCAAAGTGAAGTAAGTGGTATGGGTCAAGCTGGTATTGAAGAGGTTAAAACAAAAGTACAAACTATTGAAGATAAAATGAAAGAAGTAGAAGGTTTAGAAAGAAAATTATTAATGAATGCTGACAATGATATGAATGAAGATGCTGCTAAGCTTGGGTCATCACGTGTTGACCGTGCAAAGTCATTAACTAAAATGAAATCTGAATTAGAACAATTACAAAAGATTAGAGCTCTTCTTCCTCAATTACATTTAAAAATGAAACAAATTATTGAAACTCTTCCAAAGAAAGAACAATTTAGATTAATACGTAATATGAATTTAAGACATAGATTTGATCTTGGAACTTGGCAAGACACTGCTTAATTCATTACTATTGTTTTCTATTAATTTGTCAAATTTTTTTATAAATAATAAAAATAATTAACCAAATTAACTTATATAATTGAACATAAATTAGTAAGAGATTTTATTCATTAAAAAGAAAAATAGCCTTTAGACATGCATTTAATAATTTAATGATAAAATGTTCCTTTACCAAATTTACCAAAACCATTATTTGGTGTAAAAAAAGTATCAACAGCATCTCTTGAAGTTCTCATATCTTCATCTCCAGTTGAGAAATTAAATGTCATACTTTGATTATCATGACTTTCAATATTATTAAGGTTTTCTTGACCACTTTCATTCTCAGCGAAATCTAAACTCATTCCTAATTCATTTCCAATGTCTTGGCTCATAGCCATATCAGTTTTTTGAATTGAGTTAAAAACAAATTGAGGTTCTTCCTTTTTAATTGGTTGTTGAGTTTGAGGAAGTGGAAAATCAGAATTAGTAATTGATTCTTTCTGAATACCCATAGGAGAAACTAATGTTGGTTGAACAAAAAGACGTTGTGGAACAAGAAGAACATTTTGTTGATCTTCAATAACTGGTTGTTCACTCATTGCATCACTTTGTTGAATTTGTTCTTCTGAAGGTGAATTAATAGGATTATTAATATCAATTATTTCTCCTTCTTCAATATCATTATATTCTATTTGATTAGGATTACTAGAAGAGTTATTTGTTAATGTAGGTGTAGGAATAATGGGTGTTTCTTTTAATATAGGTACAGCAAGAGAATTAATAATTTTATTATTTGATGGAACACTTGATTTTATTGAATCTGGAATAATTAATAGTTGTTCTTGTTGTGTTTTAGGTATAGTTAATAATGTATTATTCATATGAATTGATTGTTCTTTTATAATTGTTCCAGAAAGAGGACTTGTAGTCATATTGATTCGTTGAGAGTTTATAGTTGTTTTAACATAATTAACTAAATTTTCATTGCATAAGCAAACTCCTTCATTAAAATGAGAAACTATATAATTATTTACTGCCATACCAATAGGTTCAATATCTTTTTGTTCTATAATAGGTTTATTATCTTTTTTAACCATTATTATCTTTTTCATACGAACTGTTTTTTGTGCTTTTCTTGTATTTTTTTCTCCAAATTCATATCCAAATTTAACAGCTATTTCTACTAATTCATTAAATGCTAATGCAATTTTATTCCGTTCATATCTTCTAAGTCTTTGTTCAGACTTATCTTCTTCAAGCATTTTAGATGCTTGTGCATTAATACGATCAGCAAATTGAATAACATTACCATTATAAATAATTGATTGTACTGGTTGAATTTGATATGTTTTTTCTGCACTTTTTTTTTGTTTTTTAATTTCTACAGTAACACCAGCACGTGATAATAAGTATATAAGTACTGCTTGTTGAAAAGACTCAAGGTTCTTTGATTTTTGTTTTGAGATATTTTGTTCATTACGAGGATCGTGATCTTCTTCCATTTTTTATTTTTTTGTAGTTTTTGTTTATTTCAAAAACCAAAAAGAAAAAAGATGCAATACAGGAGACACCACAAAAAATATAAAAAAATAAATAACCAAAAAAGAAGAAATTCACATCAACCAAGAAATATAAATGACAGAAGAATGAGTGAAAATAGGTATTATCTGTATAGACAGAGATACATGAATAATCACACTAACCATTACAATAACAATTATTACCATAAATATCACAACATAGATGATACAAATCGTTTCACTCATCACTTCATTCATAATCATCGTCATAAACACTTTAATAATAATTTCAATAGAAATAAACAATATCAATATAATAGAAATAAATATCATAATAACACTCAAAGAAGGTATAAACAATATCAAAATAAGAAACAAAACAAAAATCAAAGAAAAGAAATGATTGAAATACAAAACCAAGAATATTGGAAAAAACTCTTTGAAGAAGAAATTAAAATACTTACACCACAAGAAATAGAAGAAATTAAAAATACCAAGATTAAAGAATATACATCATCAACAATATGGAGAAGATGGTATTTTCTTGCACGAGAAAAAACCAAAACAATCAGAATGGAAGAAGAAACTATTAGTATGACTATGGAAGAAGATAATAATCAGTACAACCAATTGAGATTAAAGACAATAGAATATATAATAACTATGTAATGAGTGTTGAAAGTGAAGAAGACGATGATAAAGATTCTACGAGAGAAGAAGAGGCTAGAAGAAGAGGAGAAGAAGATCACTAAAGGAGAGAAGAAGAGGCTAGTAGAAAAGGAAGAAGAAAACAGTAAAAAGGAAAAAAAGAGTAGAAGAAATAGAAAAGAAAGTGGAGGAGGATATGAAAGAAAAAGAAGAAATGGAAAAGGAAATACAAATAAAAGACCAAACCATTAAGAAACTAACTAAGGATATTATGACATTAAAGAAGAAGCATGAGAATGAGATAAGCACAAAAAAACAACGAGTGCGATAAAAAAATATTCAAATTCCATGCTGAATCTGAAAGAAAAAGGTCTGAAGTAAACAATTTAACACAACAATTGCTCTTTCTGAAAGATAAAGTATCTAAATTAGAAAATAAAAATACACAAGAAGAAAAGAAGAAAGATGAGGTAAATTACAATATAACAGACTCATCAGAAACACAAATAGTAAATAATATTTTCATCAATGTGGTAGTAGATGATGAAATATCATCAAGTGAAGATGATATTCCAAAAAAAAAGAAAGTTAATGCAGAATTTCATTGAAGAAATGGATATTCAGCATAAGAAGATCATCACATTTGAATTAGATAATCAAAAAAAACGGGGGAAGCAAACAGATAGAAAAGAAGAAATTTTAACACTTTATAAATGTTTTGTTTTGAAATTATTTGAAAGAAAATTAAGATGTAAACTTAAAGAAGAAATAATAGAAAGATTAATACAAGAATTTGGAATTAAAATAAATGATATTAATGAATATAAAGAAATAATAAAGAAGACATTTAAAATAAAGAATGAAATTAAAAGAGAAATAAATAGAATAATGGAAGAAGAAATAATAAAACACCAATGGAAAGATAATGAATTAAAAGAAATAATATCAAAAGTGAACAAGAAAGAAGAAATAGAAGAAGATGAAGTAATGAAAATATTTAAAGAAGAAGAAAAGAAACAACAAGAAGATGTACAATTTATTAACTATTATTACAATAAGAAGAAAGTACATCAAATAATTAATATTATTAATAAAAATGAAATATCAATCAATACATTAGATGAATATTACCATTATATTAAATCTGTAGCTTCCACTATTAACATAATTAATAAAAATAAACAAGAAAGAAGTGGAAAGAGAAGTATAGAAAGAATAATACAATCAAAAATATGTAGATTAAGAGATTTACTTAATAATAAACAATATATGAAATTGAAAAGAATATTACATATTAAGAAATATGATATATATCATATTAAAATAAAAACAATTGAACAAATAAATTATTATAAATACCTTCGAAAGATGAAAATAATAGAAATAGAAGCAAGAAAGAATAATTTGAAAAGAATAAGATGGAATTATACATTGATAAAATATGGAAAATGAAACATCTAAATAAGTCTAAAGAAGATGAATATCCAGATAATATCTCCACTATTAATTTCTTGAAATGAATCTATGAAACTAACACTAATATAGATTTGTCTAAATATTAATTTATATGAAATATTAATTGAAAATAGAATTAATAATAGAATATCAATAATCACTCCAAATGAATTAGATTGTGCTATTAAATTCATTGATAATTTGAAAGTAAAATGAAATTGATAAAATACAATGATTTTGGATTAAATATTTAGAACAACCAAAGAAATATTTATTAAAATTATTTAATGAATGGTTGAACAATCCTAATGAAATACCTCCTCACTTTATTCAATGAAGAACAATATTAATATATAATAAAAGGAGATAAATTAGACCCACAGAATTACAGACAAATAACGTGCTTAAATTGTCTGTTAAAAGTATATACATCAATATTAAAGATGAAAATAGAAAGCCAGCTGATGCTAAATCCAATTGAAAAACAACTATCATTAAATCAAATTGGATGTAAGAAATATACATATCATCAAAAGAATGATTATTATACAATACTATAATCCAACAATTATTAATAAAGGATAAATGGAAGTGGTAGAAACATATTATGACGTCTCCAAAGCATATGATAGTATTAACCACCAATGGATTAAACAATGTTTAATATATTTTAATATCCCACTTGCAGTAATTAATAATATATTATATATTAAATAATACATATCTTAATTTGTATTATAATCAATAAAGTGTAGGTATAATTAATGTAGAAAGAGGAATAATACAAGGTGATAGTTTATCTCCACTTTTATTTGTATTATCTATTGACATACTATCTAAACAATTAGATAAACAAATAAACAAATTAAATATTAAAATGAGTTGAGAAGAAAAATAAGTCCAGTTAAACCACAGATTATATATTGACGATTTAAAAATAATAACTAATAGCCTCGATGAAATGGAAATTAAACAAATTAACTAAAGAAATATTTAATGCAATAGGATTAAAAATTAATGTAGAGAAGAGTGGGATAATGACTAATATTAATATTCAAATAAATGGAGAATTAGCTGAACTACCAAGAGTAACTAATGACAATCATTATAAATATCTTGGTATTGAAATAGGAGATAAAGTAAATATTAATAAATATTGTACAAGAATATTAAATGATATATCTTCTATTTTATCATCATTAAACACTATGAAATATAGCAGCCTCAATACAATAAGAAAGATTAATAGTGATATAATCTCCAAATTAAGATATGGATTTTGTATTGTCACATGGAAACTAGGAGAATTGGAGAAGATAGATAAACAGATAAGAAAATCATTAATGCAACTCCAATTATACAGTAGAAATATCCCAAAAAGTAGATTATATGTTA